AAGGGACCATTACTGTGACAGTAATATGAGATTAAACTATGCATTGCGGATGCGTGTAAACACAGTCACAGGACAATGAGGTGCCTCCCCCTGCACTTTAAAGATCTGCCAATGGAATGAAGGACATAGGCAACTTTACTGCAATGAATGGGTTTGATGTCATTGTTACAGGAATCTGGAAAGAAATGGTTACAGGCTGCTTCCAGAAAGTTAAGACATTAAAGACACACTCACACTGAATGCTCTTGAAAAAGTACAAAGGCTAATAAGTACAAAGGTTGTTGAAAACAAAAGCTTAGGCACTGCGTTTCAACCTCAGCTTCTAAACTCCAGGTTCAGAACAGAGTAAGGTTTTGAGTAGCAGAGGCAGAGACCGATCAAGGCAGGGTGGGAGCAGAAGCGGATCTCGAAACCACCCAACTCTTTGACATCTTTCCATTTGGCAAGTGCTAAGCACCATACAATGCAAGCCTCAACACTTACAAATGAGTTTTTAAAAAGAATCGCCCTTGTTTCTCAGAACGGCTGAATTATCATTGGCAAAAGCATTTCCTTGTGTGACTCCTGTGCGCCCAACCACCCTCAAAGGCAGCTTAATCCAGTAGGCCACCTCACGTGACTGCAAATATAAAACATGTATTTTACAAGATAGCGCAGCAAAGGCAGATGGAGGAGTCAACAGATACTATGAGAGTGAAAAAACAGTCAACTGTGAGGGACATTTCACAAAGCCGGTAAGATCCAGGTAGCTGCTCATCCCTTCCAAAGAGGCACCGGGAGAGGCTGAACTTTGTCTACGGACAGAAAGAGACTTGACAAACACAGAGAAAACACACTGAGGATCTCAGTACAGGCTGGTCTTCTTCATGATCCGCAAAAACTCCTGCTCATTGACCTCCCCGTCACCATCCCGATCAGCTTCATCAATCATTTCCTGCAGCGTGATGAGAAACCAAGAGGCAGGCCCAGTGAACTGAAGTGGGGGTTATGGAAGAGGAGGAAGGAGGGGGGGGGGACATGGCTTTTTTTGCAAAGGGTACTCAAAGGGACTAACAGTGCCTTAGCAGGTCCAACACAGAGGCCTACTCACATCTATTCACTGGGGCTTACTCCCAAGAAAGGGTCCTTAGGGTGGCACCATAAATGTAACTTTTTATCCCAATGTGTTTCAGTCTGCACACAGACTGAATTTTATCTCCCATACTTTTGCCTGTGTTAGGGCATCCTTTTATGCTCTTCAAATTACCTGGGATCTCAGTATCCTGAACAGTTCCTTATTCTTGTCACAATTAGCTTTGTTTTTTGTATTTTTCATATGTGCATGTGTGTGCGTGTGCACATGAGTGTATGTGCACCTGAAAGTCATGGCGATTTCTGGTGACTGACCCCTACTGGGGGCCTGGAGGATATTCCAAGAGGTGGCTGAGTGAAGCCTGCCCTTGTCTCCCGCCTCTGGTATTTCAAGGAGGTCTCCCATCCAAATACTTGCCAGAGTCGACCCTGCTTAGCTTCCAAGATCTCACGAGATCCTGCTTGCCTGGGCTATCCAGGTCAGGGCGTCATTTTGTTATTTATTGACAACGAAGCTGTCTTTCACCAATTCCACTATGGATCCTGCCAGAACCCCAAGTTTAAACCTCTTCATTTATTTCTATCTTCGACTCCCTGTCCTTTAACTTACTTACCAGACCCCTAGGAGGGCTTCAAGTATTTGGCTCTGCTCCTGTGCATTTTAGAGCAAGTTAACAAAAGAGAGAGTCAGTGTGCTGGAGTGAGTGCTCAACTAGGATCTGGTAGATCCAGATTCAAATCCCACTCTGCTATGGAAGCTTGCTGAGTGACTTGGGCCACTCTCAGTCAAATCGATCTCACACGGTTTTTGTGAGGATAAAAATGAAGGATTAGAGGACAATGTAAACTGCTTTGGTTCCCCACTGGGGAGAATGGCAGGACAGAAATTAAGTAAATAAAAAATTAAACCAAAGTGATCTTGGATAGGAAAAGCTTTTCCTAGCATGGTAATGAATGCTGGGAACACCTCTGCCTGTCTTCCGCAGCAACAATGCTCATGACAGAAAAATGTGCTGGTGATGTGATCAGCTATATCTGAAAAGAGCAGCTATTAAAACACTTTTGTAAGTCAGAGAAATTGGCACAAATGGTTCTGGAACAGCTCACAGAAAGAAAATCCTTCCTCTTTCATAAATTAAGGGAATCTGTAGTCTTAAATGTGATAAACAGCAGAATCTGTATACAGCAGATTCAGGGCATTTTTAATAAATGTAACCTAGTTAAATCCCTAGATCAAGAGGTTTAAGCAGGAGCACAAGCACTGCATACAATAACTTGCATCTTCCTTACCTGCAGCTCTTCATCTGTAAGGTTTTCCCCCAGTTCTTTAGCCACACGTTTGAGGTTTTTGAAAGAAATTTTGCCTGTTTCATCATCATCAAACAATTTGAAGGCTTTTAGAATCTCTTCTTTTGAATCTTTTTCAGCCTTATGAAAAAGTAAAATCATAGCAAACATATCAGACGATAGGTACTCACAAGTGAGACCAATCAGCGATTGAAAAATTAAAATGCTAGTTTTTTCCTACTGACTAAAGAAATCAAAATCAAATGAAGGTTAAACTCGAATTAGTAGCAGTTATGTTGATTATAGCACACAATCAACATGTCTAGATCTTTACAGACTTTCATGAGCAAAAGAAGAGAGAGCTGGGGTGGTAAGTGCCTGGATCACAAATCAGGAGATTTATGCCTCAAACGTCACCTCCTCTAGGAAGCCACTAGGCAGCCTTTGGCAACCGACTCGGCTTCAGTCCCCCTCCCCATCTGCTATTTGGGGATAATGTTCATTCATGAACTTACAGAATTGTTGTACAGATAAGAAGAAGAAGAGGAAGAGAGAAGAGTTTGGATTTATACCCCGCCCTTCACTTGGAGTCTCAGAGCGGTTTACAAAATCCTTCCCCTTCCCTTCCCCACAACAGACACCCTGTGAGGTAGGTGGGGCTGAGAGAGCTCTGAGAGAAACTGCTCTTTTTTCAAGGACAGCTCTTGTCAGAACTATGGCTTGCCCAAGGTCATCCAGCAGGTGCAAGTGGAGGAGTGGGGAATCAAACCCAGTTCTCCCAGATTAGAGTCCGCACACTTAACCACTACACCAAACCGGCTCTCAAAAACGTGAAGCAATGTGAACCTTCTAAAACACTATGGGAATGCTGAATACTTAGCTGGATCCCACCAGCTTTTCCAATGGGAAAAAATGGAAGAGGGACTCCTTTTGGCTCCTGCTGGCAAAACCATCCCTCCTCCCTCTTGTGCAGCAAAACTGAGAGAATCCAACCCTAGATTATTAAACAACAGTCCCAACCCACTCCAATTGTGTAGCTTTCTTTATCTCAGCCACTCCCTATACGTGCAACCTTCCCCTGTGCCCATTCTTTTGCTCTCTTTCACTGGGTTGTTGGAATGGCTAAGTCTCTAAAGTTGGGCCCTAGTAAGGAAGGTGGTCCATGCAGGTCTAGCAACAATCTTCTAAGGCAATGTGTGTCTCCTGACCCTTGCAGAGCTTGGGCTTTTATTCCCTTTGTGAGGTCCCAACCAGAGCAGAATACTGAGGCCACCTGTGTGTACAGAGGCTGAAGGAAGAATCCCTGACTTACAGGGCTTTCCTATCTGCATCACAAGTATCTGAAGGACATATGGCTGACTATCACAGACTTCCCAATTAGAGCATAAAATCCAGATATACAACAGGACAGAGAGGTTTTTGTTGTTGTTGTTGTTTTATACTTCTGCATAGATCAACCTACCATTTTCTGGGTCATCACTCCCAGGAAGTCATTGTAGCTGATCTTTCCAGTTCCTTCCTTATCAATGTCTAAGATCATTTTCTTGATCTCATCTTTCTTGGGTTCAAACCCAAGTGCTCTCATGGCAACCTGCAAACAAAGAAAACAGGATGCCATCTCAGAAGAAAAATGAAAACCAAAAATCTAAAACAAAAGCCAAGGTATTAAAAATAACAGAAGCAGAATTTTGCATCTGATAAAGGCAGTTAGTGTTCACATCAACAGGCTCCGGGACATCAAGACTGTGGAGGTCTTGCGAGTGTGCTTATAATGTGGCTTCTGGAAATAGAGTGACTCCAGCCGAAGCTTGCCTTGGGGGCCAGCCAGCACTAAGAATACCCTTGCTAAATAAACTGGGAAGGAGTGGCTGGATTATGAACCGCCAACAAGAACCCTATACTCAGGTCTGCTTTGGAAAATGGACACCCATGCTCTTTATCCAACACTGGGTCAACAGTGTTCAAAACACCCATGAAAAATAATATAAGAACATACACAGAGTCCTACAGATTCACACAGGGTCCAATCAGAGGCCTATTTCTGGGAAGCCTACAAGACCCGGATGGTAAAGCCCTCCACAGCTGTGGCTCTCCAGCAGCAGATTAAAGGCACACTGCTTTTGAAGCTGGAGGTCCCATTTAGCTACCCTGGTTGATAGCTCTTTGTAGACCAGGGATTAGTTTACTTCTTTTTAAAGCCATCATGCAGCACTAACTTCCCAAAGCTAGTTATGCATTGTGTGAAGAAAGTACTTTCTTTGCATATGGAAGGATATGATTAAAAAGTTCACTAGGATATTCTCAACATTTCATGTTAATTCTCAGTGCGACGATGTCCCCTATTTTGTGTCCAGCACATATGGTTCAGGGGCCTGTAGGAAGTCATTTGATGACAGTCATAGCGAAAGGATTTACTTCTCTAATAAAATATTTTACACAGACATATTACTGTGATAAACTTGATGTAATAAAATGCCAACACCAATCTATTTTCAAGACAAGCCTTGTTCCTATCAAGCCTTCCACTGTGCATTTACTTCAGCTGATGGCTTTGAGGCATTTAGGAAGCATGTCATACATACTGTTATGTTTCCTGTGAAATCCAGTCCTCTAAGACAAGATACCAGTCAAGTATCATGAGGAAAAGATTTCTCTTAGCACTGCTTGGGTGACTAAACCAGCAGGAGATGTGAAGAATCTCTCTCCTCCCCCTCCCCTCCAATCTAATAACAATCAATACAAGACATCATGTCTCTTAGATCCTATCTCCAAACACAAAAAGAAATATGACAGGGCAGAATACACAAAGGAAACACTGGCAGCAAGAGAGAGAGGAGGTCCAAACAACAATACCCCTGAGCCAGCACTCATACTGAGACCCAGTCACTTCAGGCTTTAGGCTGGTCCAAGTTTAACAATTTAGACAAATCCTGTTTTGCAGCTTGCCTTCAATTCCTTCACATCAATATTCCCAGTCCCATCAGTATCAAACAGATCAAAGGCCTCTCGGATCTCTTGCTTCTGCTCTTCAGTGAGTTCAGTTTTGGGTGCAGTTTTCTTCCTCTGAGAGGGAGCCGCCAGTGGTGTCTTCTTGTAGCTGGAGGCCTTAAAACATATATTAAAAAGCAGAAACAAGCCCATTTAGTCTATTCACAAAGAAGATTCTGATGTCAAGCTACAATTCAACCCACCCACCCCGGTTGAGCATTGTATAGACACTGGGCTCTTTTTTGCAAACATTTCTGCAAAACCCTGTTGGCTAGGACATTTCTGTCTTAAAACACACACACACAAAACTGGAACTTAGAATACCAATTTTCTAATTAGTACAGATCTTCTATGTGGGCAGACAGATACAAAACAAAAATGTAACTTCCTTTAAACAAACTAGGTTGGCAGAGAAAGGTATTTTCCCCTAGAAAAGTGCATCTCATACACTGAACCCCCCCAAAGTCTCCCACTTAACCTACTACATGTCAGATCAACATAAGAAGATACCAAAGTTGGGGTACAAAAAATAAATAAATCTCTTGCTGTTTGATTTGCACTAATGTAATAAAATGATTACAAGTGTCTTAGTGAAACAGAGTTTTCTAGGCCAGTCTGCTGAAATAGGGACTGGGTAGCATCACAAAGAAGCAGTAAAGAGTTGTGGAGTGCATCAAAGGTTGTAGCATTCTTTGATCCACACACCAGTATGGAGGTGGATCCTTCCAGTTCATATGATCTCCAATCAAAACATCAGGGTGCACACCTCCAAAGTAAACTGAATTCCAACAGAGCTTTCTTTGGGAAAAGGTTCGCTTTGAGAGTTAGTCAAGGGGCCTTACTGCAACCTGGCTATATAGGAAACAATTCATTCACTTCCAAATGTCTTCTTTTCCAGGCATTTAGGCCTCGTTTTCACAGAAATGGTCAATCCATAACCAGACATTACCACTTCAGACAGCAGCTCACATCACAGAATGCACCTCCCTCGACATAAATCTCCAGGATATTTTTAAAAATCTGAACACCAGGCCTAAACATTTCTGTTACCATCCTAGCTCTCTAAGAGGACCATGGACCGCTTTGAACCACTAGAGCGTCCTGAAGTGGTGCATTGCCCTGCGTCGGTCCATCCCCACCAATGCTCTCTCTAAGCTGCGGAGTGTTGTGAGCAAAAATTCTACTTTGTGAGCTACTGGCATTAAAGCTGTGAGCGAGCGATTTGGCTACTGCCTACATTCGTTTGCTCTGGAGCCATCCCTTCCTGAGCCAAGGCAAAAATGTGTGAGCCGGAGGCTGAAAAACTGTGAGCTAGCTCACACTAACTCAGCTTAAGAGGGATCACTGGTCCCCACCACTGCCTAGTTAATGCAGGCGCGCGCGCACAATTCGAACCAACAGCCCATATGCAGATAAGCACCTGCCAGTTTCAAAGCATGCGCAGTGGGGCAAAAGTTTCGTAAACCTTGCCTGGAGAAGAAGGAAAGGGCGATGATGGCCACCCACCCCCCCCCCCCCCCCCGGCCCACAGGCTTCCATTCTGAAGAGGGATGCTTAAATCAGCACATACAAGCCCATGTTTTGCCGAAAACAGCATCTGCGGGCTTCTTCCCCACAGGGACTGTGGCGCTAGCTGTCCTGTCCTGCCCCCCGAGCCGACACCACCACCCCGGCCACCACCGTACTGACCATCCCGCCCAGGGACCGTCGCAAGCCGATGGAGCCGTGAGGCGAAAGGAAAACACAGCAAGCTCAACCGCTACCAGCGACCCTGCTCAATACTGCTCCTCCTCATTGGCTAAGCCCGCCACACGCCGATGCCATAGCAACCGCAGTTGCCATTGGCTACCGACTCCAACGCGCGAGAACCGCGGTCGACGACTATTGGTTAAAGGCAAAAAGGGCGCTATGGGCGGGGTCTATTTCTGCAGACGGGGCCGATTGGCTCCCGGAGAATTCGTTAAGCGGCCAATGAGCGAGCAGGCCGGCGCTCGGCAGATTATCGGCATAGGGGCGGGGTGGGAGGAGCTGCTGGGGAGGGAGGGATTATCAGGGATGTCGGGCGTTGATTGGAGGAGCTTCGTAATTGGGCGTGGTCTAGGGTCTGCTGTCAGGAAGCCGTGCCGGTTTCGGGGCTTGGGTCTGCTTGCTCGAAGTCTGGGGGTTGCTGCGATTTCTTCCCGTTAGGAGGTAAGAGATGCTCGGGGGGGGGGGGGGGGGGGGGGGGGGGGGGGGGGGGGAGTACAGAAAGCTGCAGTCTCCCGCTCACTTACCTGGGAGCATGTCCCGTTGAGTCCTCGGACTTACTGCCAAGTAGACAAAACTAGGATCAGGTCTGGAACTGGCAGCCCTGTGCATAATCTACCTGGGAGTAAATCAAAATACAAGAACACAGTCCATGTAAGACGTGTTATTAGGACCACCAACCAAAATGACACAAGGCAGCGTGGAAGCTTTCGAGTTCACCAGAACTCTTCGTCAGGCTCCATGCTATCAGGTCTTAAGATCATTGACCTTAGAGGTGTGCTGTCATGTTGGTCGGTCCTAATAAAAGATATTGTGCTTCAGACCAATATGGCTTTGTACAACATTTTTGCCTTTGGTCGCATGACGGCAGGCTGCTCATTCTGCCCCTTCCCACCCTTTGGGTCGCCACCTTTTCTCTGATGGAGTCTTCATACCATTGACAGCTGAGTGACAGGTATATTTGGATATATTTCTCTTCGCACAGCACAGAAATGTGGTAGGGATTAAAACAGGTTGAATGTATGCCTCTTGCTGTGGGTGGAGGGGAGAGGCTTCCTAAAGCAACAACAGCATAGTGCTTTTCTTAGTCCCAATTAAGATTCCACAGAAAAGGAAGCAAGCTTTCAGGTTCATCAAAATCCTTTGCCAGACTTGACACTCAAAGGGGTGGGGGAGAAGAGAGAGACTGTGGTAGTCCAGATGGAATGGCCAGGCCATGCTTGGTGCAAAATGGTTTCAAGTAATGAATACAGGCATGGGTAACTGTATTTGGGGATTCCCCCCGCTATATCACTTTTGCTGGATAAACCATCATGTATATAATGGAGAAAAGGAGAAAGGCCTTTTAGGGCCTTCCCTGGGGAGAAATGCAAATTTAATAAATGAAGCAAATAAATAAGTAAAATGTTTCACATTGCTGGTTGTGCAGATGTTCTAGCCGTAGGAACCTTGGTCCTTGAAAAGATTGCTGGCATGTGGTGGTTCATCGGTTTCGTTTTCTCTTTAAATAAGCCTTTTATAGGCATATGATCTTTTTGATTGGCACAGCTGGTGCAGAAGGGAACTTAGAATTCTTTGTGTGTTTATTTCATACAGGGATCTGAACCCAGAAAGGCAACTGAAGAGTTAGTAGTGCTCAGCATCCGTTGCACAGTCCTCAGTCTCCTAGCCATGGCCACACGACTGAGGCCGGTAAGTTTATTTTCCTCTAAGATCTCATATGCCATGTTCGCTTTATCATGGTAGGTTAGAAGCATCGCCTAGCATGAAACTAATTTATGGAACTCATTGCCACCAGATGTGATGACAGCTATGGGCATAGATTGCTTTGAAAGGAGATAATGCAAAACTGTGGAACAGAAATCTATCCATGACTGTTAGGCATGCCACTGAATTTCCAGTTTCTAGGGGGAAACAGTGGGGAAGGGGTATTTTGCTTATGCCTGTGTCCCAGAGTCATCTGGCTGACCACTGAGACTGGATGCTGGACTAGAAGGACCCTGGTTCTGATAAATAAATTCATGGAGAATGTCTAGAGCGGTGGCGCAGGCAGTTAATCGCCTGCTATTAATAACATCTACGAACAGCTATACAGCTGTTCGATACCCACCGCGGTCAGATTGAGCACCTGGCCCTCGTCCCAGCTCCCGCTAACCCAGCGGTTCGAAAGCGCCATTAATATCAAAATAAGTGCAAGTAGATAAATAGGAACCTACCTTAGATGGTAGGGGGCACCCTCCCCCATCGTGGGGGTCGTTGGAGGGTCAGAGCTCGGCGGACGGCAAAAGCGGCGGACGGCAAAAATGGCGTCTGGATACATCGGTGGCGAAACCAGACGGCGGTGGAGAAGGCGGAGCCGGGACGATGCACGAGCGTGGCGGCGCAGGAGGGGCGGAGCCGTGAGGACAGAGCCATGGCCGCGCCGAGCATGCCGCGTGGCAGAAGGGCCAACCAATCCACCGCTGAAAAAAGATCGCCAGAAAAGGAGCCAGAAGCCGAAGCTGAAGACGACGGAGCCGACCCGAGAAAAGGAACCCCCCCCCCCGCTCCACTGGGTGCCGGTAGGGATGTCCCCACCCCTAAGAATTGGGGCCATAGGTTAGGGATAATGAATAACTGTAGCCGCTCAGAGACCCCTTCGGGGGTTAGAGCGGGATAGCAAGTCGAATAAATAAATAAATGAATAAATAGATCCACAACAGTGTGCTGTGATAGCTAAGGGGATTCTCTGTGATCAGCAGCAATCTATCTGAATAGCAGATGCTGGAGAACATGTAAAGCAGGGTCCCTTCATGTCTTGTGTGCGAGTTTAATGTTACTTTTGATGGCGATCCGGAGAACCTCTCCTTCTTTATTGTACGGGTGATGAAGTTTGTTGAGCGGTGGGCTCATTTTGCTTCCCGCTTGCGGGGGGTGGCAACCAGCTGGTATGTGAGTCTTCACAACCTGGAGGCGATGGAATTGGGGAGCATAGATGCGTTTATGTGGCCGCTGAGAGCCCGTTTCGAGGACCGCACCGCGGCTGAGAAGGCAAAAAGCGCCCGGAATCGACGGTGCCCCCCCCGTTGGTGGAGGGTGAAGAACATTATGAGATCTCTGACACTCTGGACTCTAAACTGAAACGTGGGAGATTGTATTACCTTGTGGAATGGGTGCATTGGGGTCCCCAACACCGGGAATGGGTAGAGGTAAAGGATATCCGAGCCCCTGACCTTTTACGGAAATTCCACGACCGTTTCCCGGGGAAACCGGGAGGTCTCCCAGCCATGCTTTCATTGTTTTCGTTCATCTCTATCTGGCTGGCTGGCTGCTGTTGGTAACAGGATGTTGGGCTACAAGCATGCATTGGCGCTGGTTTTGTGACAGTTGAATGCAGGACAGACCTTCCTAAATGACAGCCTCTTGTGGTGCCTGCATTTTCCCTGAACACTACTGTCAAGCTGTTTTGCGGTCAGACTGCCTCTAAGTCTTTGGGTGTGTTTTGAAGAAGAAAAAGAAGAGATTGGATTTATACCTTGCCCTTCACTATCAGAAGGAGTCTCAGAGTGGCTTGCAATCTCCTTTCCCTTTCCCTCCCCACAACAGACACCCTGTGAGGTAGGTGGGGCTGAGAGAGCTCTTTCAAGGACTGCTAGTGAGAGAACAGCTCCAAGAGAATTTGTGACTGACCCAAGGTCACACCAGTAGCTACATATGGAGTGGGGAATCAAACCCAGTTCTCCCAGATTAGAGTCCACACTCCTAACCACTACGCCAAACTGGCTCTCTGAGAAGAAAGGTTTGCTGCTTTTTGTTTAGGGGCTCATTGGCATGAGTTCTTCTGTAATGTTATATTTTCCCCCCTAACAGCTGCGTGCATACGGAAACACCTCCGCAGTCAGTGATGCATGTTTGGTCTCAGCCCACCTGTCTCTACCTTCTTATTCTTTGCAGGCCTTTAAGAAATGCATGGTGATAGGTGGCTCCGGGTTCCTGGGTCAGCACCTGGTGGAGCGCCTCCTGGAGAAAGGCTACTCAGTCAATGTGTTTGATATCCAGAAAGCCTTTGAGAATGACCAGGTGCAGTTCTTCTTGGGAGATCTCTGCAGCAAGGAGGTAAGGAAGCTGAAGGATGCAAGCTGCGTCATAGATTTTGAGCATGCTCGGCTCAGAGTTCATTGTCCTGCTTGGGGTTGATCTGGGGGACTGGGGTTCCTGGAGGAAGCCACACGTACAGGTTGCTCAATTAGGTTTGCTGGGGTAAAGAGAGCTGGGAGACCCAGGTTCGAATCCCCCCCTCTGCCATGGAAGCTTGCTGCCAAGTCACAAACGCTCAGCCTAACCTACCTGACAGGGTTGTTGGAGGAGGGAAGAATGATGTAAGCTGCTTTGGGTCTCCACTGGGGAGAAAAGTGGCATATGTATTTAGGAAGTGAAAGAAATAAAATAATATAAAATCTGCGTAATTCAGCCTTGTACGTCTGTGGTTGTGCATTAGTCACATAGTTTGAATGACACAAGAGCTGCTTTTTGTGATTGGGGCGACCTGGTCCTTGGTCTTTGGAAATGGTCTGAAATGTCCGCAAGGGAGGGCAGAATCGTTCAGAATTGCTTCTGACTGCTGGATGATCCCAAATAGGACCCCACCCCTGCCCTTTTTTTGTTTACTTGTTTAAAATATAGGTTGTACGACAACTGAATACGACACATTTGTTGACATAGGAGCCAGAGCAAGTAATCTTGAGCAGGTCTACTCAGAAACAAGTCCCTTTTTTGTAATGGGGTTTACTCCCAGAAAAACGTTCTTATGATCGCAGCCTTATTATCTCAGTAAATAGCTGTCAATTTATATTAGGCTTTTTTTTTTTGTCTTCCTTCTATTCTTCTATAATCTGGCCAAGTGTTTTGGCTGTTGCAGGTTCTCAAATGCCTGGCTTCAGTGTCTAGGCCAGGGGTGGCCAAACTGTGGCTCAAGAGCCACATGCAGCTCTTTCACACCCAGGGCCTTTTTTTGTAGAAAAAGCCCAGCAGGAACTCATTAGCATAATAGGCCACACCCAACAGCAGACACCTATTAGCATATTAGGCCACACCCCTGACAGCACAGCTCATTGGCATATTAGGCCACACCCACATGTTACCAGAAGTGTGGTTATCCAGCCACACCCACCTTTTGTTTCTTATTCTGTTTACCTTGTTTGTTGTCAAAACTCCGGGCCTTTTTTTGTAGCAGGAACTCCTTTGCATGTTAGGCCACACACCCCTAATGTAGCCAATCCTAATGAATTTCTGCTGTTGGGTGTGGCCTATTATGCTAATGAGTTCCTGCTGGGCGTGGCCCACTTGGAAGCCAGCCGGAACTCCGCTCCTGTGCGTTCCTGCCCAAAAATAGCCCTGTTATCTATTGTGCGGCTCCCGGCAGGGCGGCTGGGGAAGCTAAAGATCATTAACAAACAAATATCATTAGACAAATATCATCATCAATATCTGCTTTTGTTATTATTTTTGGCAGTCTCGTTTAATATTAATGAAAAGCAGATTTGCATATTTTCCAATAAAGACATGTAATATCTGTTCATGTCTTGCGGCTCTCAAACATCTGACGTTCATTCTATGTGGCTCTTACGATAAGCAAGTTTGGCCATCCCTGGTCTAGGGTGATTTGGGTTTCTCTACAAAAATTACTTTTCACCCGCTTTTGCTTGGTCTAGCAGAAGAGAGCTAGTTTGGTGTGGTGGTTAAGAGCAGCCGACTCTAATCTGGAGACCTGGATTCGATTCCCCACTCCTCCACATGCAGCCAGCTGGGTGACCTTGGGTCAGTCACAGTTCTCAGAGCTGTTCTCTCAGAGCTCTCTCAGACAAGGTGTCTGTTGTTGGGAGAGAAAGGGAAAGGAGACTGTAAGCCACTCTGAGGCTCCAAGTGAAGAGCTGCTCTGATGCTGTTTGACAACTGTTACCATTGCCACAGCATTGTGATCTTAACCGTCTCCTCTGTACCTCCAGGATCTGCTTCCGGCACTGCAAGGGGTGACTGTGGTATTCCACTGCGCTTCACCGGCCCCTTCCAGCAACAACCGAGAGCTTTTCTACAAGGTCAATTACTTAGGGACAAAAGCGGTCATTGAGGCTTGCAAAGAAGCTGGCGTCCAGGTAAGGGCCGAGCAGCGAGTCTAAGGCACACGACAGGTGGAGGATGCTGGGGTGAACCAGCTTGACCCTGGTGTGTCCAGGCTGATCTTAAGCAGGCATGTGTGAGTTTGTGCAACATCACTATTTGAACCTGGGACCTCTTAGACTGCTGCTCATTTTCATAGTTACTGTGTCGTGGCAGAACAAAGTTTGCGTCCAGTGGCACCTTTAAGACCGACAAAGGTTTATTTAAGGTGTACACTGTAGGGTGCAAGCACACTTCCTCAGACAAATGGAAACAAAATTTCTTCAAGCCTTACCTACAGGAAGATTGGGGGTGGGGGGGTGGAAGCGTCAGGAAGGACCAGTCAGAGTTAGGATGCATAAGTGAAGCTGAGATTTGATCAAGGCGGCAAGACTGATGAATGGCAGCAAATTAGCGCACACATGGCGAGAGCTAACAAACAGATGTGAGAACGAAGCCTGAGTCCAGTGGTGTGCCCATAGAAACCCTGTGACCTGGAGCCCAAATAGAGTGGGTCAGGAATTGTTTTCCATCACCCGTGGATGCCTGCACAAAGTCAAACGATCCAGAGTCATGGTTGTAGGGGAGTCTGAGAGGGACCGTCCCTCCCCCCGGGATATCCCGGTCTCACCATCCTGAATTTTCAGCTTTCACTTTTTAAAGAATGTAAATATCTCACTTTTTCAGATATATAAGGGGGAAGGTGCTGGCAGAATCCTACCCAGTGGTTAATCCAAGTTAGCCTTCCCCTGCTTTCTGGTGTTCAGATCACTGAATGAAAAGGCACTGGAGTGACTGACAACCGCAGTATTCATGTTCCCATTCTACTGTTGTCTTTTGCCCTATTAAAAAACTTTCAAGTATATTTGGCTAAAGGTAAAGGTTCCCTTGCTCGAAAGCCAGTCGAATCCGACTCTAGGGTTGCGGTGCTCATCTCCGTTTCAAAGCCGAAGAGCCAGCGCTGTCCGAAGACGTTTCCGTGGTCATGTGGCCGGCATGACTAAACACCAAGGCACACGGAACGCTGTTACCTTCCCACCGAAGTGGTACCTATTTATCTACTTGCAAGTTCTTGCTTTCGAACTGCTAGGTTGGCAGGAGCTGGAACTAGAGATGGGAGCTCACTCCATCATGCGGCACCCGGGTCTCGAACTGCTGAACTACTGCCCTTCCACAGCCTGCAGTTCAGCGTCTTAACCACTTGAGCCACCGCAGCTCTATTTGGCTACCTGTGCTCTAATTTCTGTTGTTATGACTTGCTTCAGCCATTTGCAATCTCCATCATGTTCCCTTAAGCTTCCCTGCCACAAATATCTGGCTTTGGGTCTGCAGCCGGGGTTCCTGGTTCCCACCAAGCAGTCCATGTCTTCCTGTAAAATGCTTGTTTTCCTTCTTGGTCCCATGACAGAAACTGGTGTTGACCAGCAGTGCCAGCGTCGTCTTCGAGGGCACTGACATCAAGAACGGAACCGAAGACCTCCCGTATGCAAAGAAGCCCATAGACTACTATACGGAGACCAAGATTCTGCAGGAGAAGGTGCCCATGTTCTTCCCTTGGTGATCATGCTGTTGGGCAAACAGATGCTGTGCTGAGAAAGAAGACTTGCTTAGCTGTTCCTCTCCATTCTTAAGTGACAATTGAACTCGAGAAATCTCCATTAGGGTAACCCTCTGCTGATCCATCTGCATCAGGAAATAGGTTTTTGCTTCTTGAGGCTGATGGCTTACTGGCCAGCCATCAGAGTCTTCCTCCAGGCTCACATGGACCCTGGTCATAAAGGGCCGTTGTTGCATGCATGTTACGTATTTATTTATTTATTTATTTATCCTTCAATTTGTATACCGCTCACCCCCTAAGGGCTCTGAGAGTTCACATATTCAAATACAATCAATCCTTACCTAGGGCCACACACATACATTGGGGAGGTGACTAGCCTAACAGGCACCCTCTAGCGCGTCTTTCGTTGTTATCTGCAGAAGATCTTCCTAGTCTGGCGGCGACGTCCTCCTGGCATAGGTCTTCTCTCGGCTGCCTGCAACTTCCTCGAGCCTGGGCCGAGCACACGTCCGCGCGTGCTCGCTGTTGGTCTCTGTCCAATAGGCTGTAACGTAGCAGCACCACAATCCAAAATCCATACGGCTGAGCTCTTAAAGTTTATTTATTTATTTATTTCGGTTTATAGCCCGCCCTCCCCACAAAAGCGGGCTCAGGGCGGGTCACAGAAAGGCATACGCCCGCACAAGGGACCGCACAAACAGGAAATCAGGGGTGTTTGGGCAAGCCGGTACAAAAACTTTGGCAGGAAAATGGATTTATTGGAAACATTTTTGTATCTTTATCTTTTCCCTAAGAACACCCCGACTGGATCTTCACAGTGGCCACGAGGTAATTCAGGCTGAGCCGAAGTAACTCTCAGTGCAGTCCTAAGGCAGAGTTGCATCCTTCTAAGTTCACTGAGGTCAGCGGGCTCAGAAAGGTGTAACTGCTTAGGACTGCAGTGGTAACGACCAATGCTCCCTCTAAAGCTATGGAGTCTTGTGAGCAAAAATTCTACTTTGTGAGCCACTGGCATTACAGTTGTGAGCGAGCACTTTGGCTACTGCATAAATTGGTTTGCTCTGGAGCCCTCCTTCCTCAGCTGAGACAAAAATGTGTGAGCCGGAGGCTAAAGAACTGTGAGCTAGCTCACACTAGCTCCACTTAGAGGGAACACTGGTAATGACCTATTTTGGCTGCGTAGGGATTTGAACTCAGGACTCTTTTGTCTCTGTCTGCTGCACCACACTGTTTTTTCTTACCCCCTCACCCAAACTATGCCAAGGGACCCAAAAGAAAAGACTGGAGGAGGCAGCACTGGAGCCAAAGAGATCTGCCTTCAGGGGTTCCTTTCTGTCCCTGGTGCCTGGGAGGCTTTGTTTTGCCAAGGCATTCCATAGATTCTCTGTCTCCTGCAGGAAGTTCTGGGTGCCAATGATCCAGAGAGGAATTTCTTCACTGCCGCGATTCGCCCCCATGGCATCTTTGGCCCGCGGGATCCCCAGCTGGTTCCCATCCTTGTCCAGGCAGCCCAGGATGGCAAGATGAAGTTCATGATTGGGTGAGCAAGGCCCACGTCCCTTTTTAGGTCATGCAAAATATATTGCCTGAGTGGCAGGCTGTCTGCCCACATTTCGACAGAGTGTAATGCTGCACTTGAGAATCTGACGTGTGCACAATACCCTGGGAAGCGAGTCAACTAAAAACATAGGTCTCTGAGATCTGGCATTGTTCTGACGTATGTAACAGGCATGCGTTGAGAAAAAACAATGGGGAACTGAGGGTCACCACAGTCAAATGGTAGGTTTGATACATCCTCTAAAAACAGAAGTGGTCCATTGTATTTAGCCATAGGCCATTACAAACCACAAACAGAGAAGAATGCAATAAAACATAGAAAATTGTATAAAATAAGATAGTCTAAAACATTATAAATCCATAAAACCGAGGTTATAAACAATTAATTTACAACATACCCACTAAAATCAGTATTAGCTAAGAACAGCATTGGCCCGTATTTTCCTTGCAGCCAAGGCAAATAGAGCCATTCTATTGGATACATCGGCTAGGAAAAATATAATCTTCTCTGGGTCTGAATAAAAGCTTAAAACTGGTAAAATACCAGATTAAAATTTTGACCTAGGCTGGGAATACAATGGGCAATCAAAAATGTAATGGGAGAGATCCTCAGTAGCAGAAGAGCCACAAATACATAAACGCTGTGCCTTGGGTGTTCTACTGTAGTGGCCGACCAATACGGCTGTAGGCATTGATTCAAAGCGCAGAGATGTAAAAGCTGCTCTAAGGTTATGATTATCTATATTAACCAGGTAAGGTGATAAAAAACAGAAGTGTCTTTACTGTTTTAAGCTGAGGGATTTGCTAGCTGATTTGGTCATGGAGCAGAACTATGACGTTTAGACTCTGATTATTTATTTATTTATTTATTATTTGCATTTATATCCCGCCCATCCCACAGGCGGGCTCAGGGCGGGTAACATCATTAGAATAAATGCAATTCCAGTTTAAAACATTAAACGTTAAAACACGATAAACCATTATAACAATTGAAACAATGGGTACTGCTCCACCCAGGAATAAAAGTATGTTGTAGAACAAAAATAAGGTTTTAAAAGGCATAAGGCAAATGAAAAATCTCAATTCAGCAAACGTATACATCCGTGCTGTGTGTAATCAGCATTTTAAAAAGCATAAAACTGTGTGCACATTCTGTGCCAGAAAAGCCAACTGCACCTGTGTAAATGAAGGTCACATAGAAATACAGAAAACCTTTTTTTCAGTAATGTTTTAATGATATATGTTTGAGAGGGGATTAATTTGAATGGTTTTATAATGTAATTTTATCTTGTATACTTGAAATGGTTAGCTACCTTGGTGGACCTTGTAAGGTCAGAAAGGCGGGAATAAATTTTGTAACTAAACAATAATAAAGACGGTGGTCGAACCGACACAAGCAGAAACTTCAGCAAGAAAGTGCTTTGCCAAGTACGCAGTGGTTAATAGCGTCTTGGAGTCGTTCTTCCATCTTGGCCCTGTGAATTTGTCGGCATTCATTGTAACAGGCTGTAACTGCAAGCACTGGATGAGACTGTTTGCCCGGGGAGCAAACAGGAGCTGGCCTGAGTCTTCTAAAGCTGGGGGTGACAAGGCAAAAGGTGGTTGAATTAGTGGAGGGTCTGCAGCATCCTTTATGGCTCAGCTTGAGTGAAGAGAGTAGGCACCTGAGCGCTCGCCTCTGTGGTCCAGAGCTTGGCTCTAATATGAACCCTTTCTTCTTTGTCTGGGCAGAGATGGGAAGAACTTGGTGGATTTCACATTTGTGGAAAACGTGGTCCATGGACACATACTGGCTGCAGAGCAACTTCAGAGAGACTCTTCCCTCTGTGGAAAGGTGAGGCCACCTTTTTTGTTTGACACAGTGAGCGGCACTTATGAGCTGTACTCCGCTAACGCTGCAGGTTGTCCTTTGCCGCCTCTTGTTCTGCAAGGAGGAGATACAGCCGTGGTCCCTCTCCTTTTGGAGTCTCAGGTACCTTTGGAATTTAGAGGCAGGGTGGCAGGTACCACAACAAATTGGCTGCCATAGTAGGTAGAGCCAAGCACACTTACACAAGAGGAGGGGGATAGGTAAACACACACACAGAAGACATTCAAGTGGGGGATAACCGGGGGTCATTTCGTAGAAAAAGAGGTGCAGGAGCTCATTAGCATAACTTATTTGCATATGCCGCCACCCCTGACATCACCGGAAGTGTGTCAGAAGGCAACACCCACCGCTCAGGCTCCACTGGACTATTTTGGATTGCTAGCTATTGGGAGGGGGGGACGTGCAGATTTGTCCTTGCAGAGGAGGGAGAGCTTGTACCTGAATAAAACTTGGTCTTAAAGGTGCCACTGGACTGTTTTGGACCGGGAGGCCAAAGGGGGCTCTGCAACTTACCTGGCTGCTTCTTGCTCTGACTGAGGGCTGCTGGGGGCAGGGGGTGGGGCTTGTTGCATGTGCCCACCCCCTGGGCTCTTTACTGCCGGAGCTCCACTCCTGTGCGCTCCTGCAGGAAATGACCCCTGGGGATAAACCCACACAAAGAAGAAGATGTCCAATGTTGGAAAGAGAAGATTAAACTCACGGAGAGAGAAGGGGGCAAAGGGGGGATAACACACAGAGAGAAGACCAAAGGGGAATAATACACACACTGACACACGAAGGAGAGATAAACACCCACATACACAAGGAGGGAAAGGGGGGGAATAACACACATGCAGAGAGAAGGGAGCCAGCGTGGGATAAAACACCCACAAAAGACTGCCAAAAGGGGAAGTGGAGGATGATATACACATGCTAAGATCATGGGTGGGACAAGGAGGATAAAACAGACAAAATTGTTCTGCCTTTCACAGTGGCCCCACCTGCTTTACTGAAGCACATGGCAGGTGTCCGGGGAAGTGCCTGCGGGTCTCACAGTGCCCACGGAGTTGAGGAACAGTGGGCTATGGTTTTGAACATGATTTGCCTGCGAGAGGTGTCATCACTGGCATCTCCAGTGAAAGGATCTTGGAGAATGGGCTTTGAGAGGCCTTCTTCTGCCTGAGAGCCTGGAGAGCGGCTACCAGTTAGAGTGGACAATGCTGAGCTAAATGGACCAGTGATCTGACTCAGTCTGGCAGCCTAACATGCCCAAAGTGGTTGACCTGCAAGGTTTGGAATGCTTCCTCCCGGCTAAACGCTTACCAAGCGGAAAAGCAAAGTGTTGAATTTGTTAACCCACCCATACCCACTGCTTTGTATTTTGTCTCACAGGCGTTCCACATCACGAATGATGAGCCGATCCCCTTCTGGGAATTCATGTCTCGGATCCTGACAGGCCTGAATTATGAAGCTCCCAAGTACCGCATCCCCTACTGGCTGGCTTACTACCTGGCCCTCCTCCTGTCCCTGATCGTGTTGCTGCTGAGCCCCCTGGTCACCATCAACCCCACTTTCACCCCCATGCGGGTGGCGCTCGCTGGCACGTTTCACTACTACAGCTGCGAGCGAGCCAAGAGGGACATGGGCTACAAGCCCCTGGTCAGCCTGGACGAAGCCGTGGCAAAAACCGTCAAGAGCTACCCACACCTCCGCCGTGCCAAGTAGCTATCGAAGGCCTAAGAGTGCATCAGCAGAATATCACCACGCTGGGCCCTTGACTTTTCCTCTGGCCTCTCCTTTGGAGGCCACCATCTGGAATGACTTTATACCGTGAATTGCCTGTGATTGATTTGCCGTGACCAGCATCTCACAAACTGTGACTACCCCAATGGAGGTTCAGTTGCCATAAACCTGCAGCGTGACCAACTACCAGCCTCCCTGCCATGTCTGGGTGCTTTCCTACTCTGAGTATCCCTTGCCTTTTCAGAGGGCAGGTATAGTTTCTGTTTCTTGCACTGTTTGGGGCTGGCACCATTACTTTCCCTTCCAGAACAAGGTTGCCCTTGGAGCAAAGGGGTGAATCTGTGCCCAGATGCCATCGATAGGTATCCATCTCATTTTGACGTCAACAACTGCAAGGAATTCATTTGGCCTGAATCAGTAGACTTATGGCTCATTCTGCCTGAAACACTGACTCTACAAGAACTTTGCTTGTTAACTAACAGGATTAACAAGGTTTATCCACGTAACCGCAACCAAAAGGAAAATGACTTTGGGTGAGGTCTCCCCAATAAAAATCTGAAGCTCTGTTTTGTTTTTGTGTTTTTCTTGGAAGTGCCTTGCTGTAAATGGGCTCCTGCTTTTCAGAAACACATAATGTGCAGTGGGTGGGTTGATGCTAAGTGGTCTCTTTACCACAAGAAGAGCTGTGGTCCTCCTGTGTTAGGACGTCTTTCCTTATCAATGTGATTCTGTGGAAAGAGCCTGCACATTGGCCTTGATTCGTAGTGTGGGCTTGCATGATATGTGTCGAGATCTTTTAGTCTCCCAGCAAGAACTCTGGCTTCTCGCAGCTTCTTGCCTGGCTGAGCAATTAAACTCTGTAGAAGTAATTGGGATAATTGGGGCATGTTGGTTAGATGCCGGTCCCGATGTTGTGGCTTTCTTAGAATTCTCCCTATCACATGGAACCAGTGTGGGAAAAAGGCAGGTGCTTGGGCTGTATTTGTAAAGGGAAGAACAATTCTCTGCAGTCTGGCAACTCAGTGCAGATATTTGGTTGTTATTACATCTTTCAATTTTTTGTGTTCCAAGGACCTAAGCTAGACAAGGTGCTGGCAGATCCCTGAATGGATATTGCCAGGTCTTTTTTTTAAAGATCAATAGCAACTGCACGAGGCTTTGATTCAGGTGGTAATTTAAAAGATTTAAAAGGAAATGAAGCCTAGTCTACTTACATTTCGTTCTTTCCACAGAGTTTCTGGCAATTCCTAGAGGTACCCTTTGTCACGTGGGTAGCTCTAAGAAGTGCGAGGAACTCTATGGTAAGAACTTCCTGTAAGTGGACAAGGCTTTCTTGTTCTTTTTAATTCCTCTCCTGTTGCCACTTCTAGCAATAGTGGCCTACAGGACCTGGGGAGTTCTGATATCAACATGGTATGTTTATTTCAATCAACATGGGATGTTTATTTCAAGAGCTGATAAGTGGAAATTGATAAGAATTGTAATTACGACATGCTCAGATAAAGCAATCCTTGTGGAATGGGTATTTTTATTGCACAAAATCCGTTGCGCGTGAGTAATAAAAGAAGAGAGTTTCCCACAGAATCATAATTATTATAGTAAATTTTTTTTTGCATATATATCATTATTGACTCTTCCTTATTGTTGTCACAGATGTTTTGTTTGGACTCCCATGTGGGGCTTGGCAGCCCCACCACTTGACTAGGGTTGCCAGGTCCCTACCTTTGGCCAGTGGGGGGGAGAAGCTCCTCTCCTGGGATCTTCTGGTATGCACGTGTAGCGATTACATCACCCGGAAGTGATGTCATTACACTAGGCACATCGCCAGGGGGACGCTCTAGCATTCGGCTAGAAACTATGATACCGTAGAGTTTTCGGGCCAAATGCTAGAATGTCCCCCTGGCGACATGCCCGGCAAGGTGATGTCATCCAGGCACTTTGGGGGCGGAGTTCCCCCCGCTGGCTGGATCCAGGCTGGCAGATCAGGGGCCCCTAAAGTGGACAGACCCCTGCTGCCCCCAGGGGGATCTGGTCACCCTACGACAGTTTCATCCACTGAAACTAACCCACATGCACACAGAGTTAGCATGGGTAAAAAGGGTTTTTTTCTCTCCAGAGCTAGCTGGTAAGAGCGGAGTCTCCATCTAGGAAAAACTGGAACCTCTGACCTAAATCAGGTCCCTGCGCAGCAGCTAATGACCTTTAAAAATACTGGGGAAATCTGATCTCTGGTCTCCCAGCATTTCTTCTAGTTCCTTCTCTTAAGGGAAGGAAATGCAGTTGGCTGCTGAGCAATGTTCCCTCTAAGCTGTGGAGTCTTGTGAGCAAAAATTCTACTTTGTGAGCTACTGGCACTAAAGTTGTGAGCTACTGCATAAATTAGTTTGCTCTGGAGCCGTCCTTCCTGAGCTAAGACAAAAATGTGTGAGCCGGAGCCTCAAAAACTATGAGCTAGCTCACACTCACTGAGCTTAGAGGGAACACTGCTGCTGAGATCTAGGCCAGGAATCTGGGACTATAGTCTCTGTACCCTGGCATCAGCAAGCCTAGAAGCCAAAGAGAGCCAGTATAGTGTAGGGACTAGAGTGTCAGATTAAGTTCCAGGAGATCCAGGTTCAAATTCCGACACTGCTATGGAAGCTTGCTGAGTGAGGGACCTAGGGTCAGTCACACCCCCTCAGCCTCACTTGCCTGCCATGAATCTGGGTGAGTCCCTGTGCTGCAAATCATTCACTTCCTTCTCCCACCTAACCTTTTGAAAAGGCCTGCAGGAGGTCTTGGACCTTGCTACGATTATCCCTATGGGCCTACATTTCCCAGATACCCTCCAAGCCTGAGATAGGGCCTGGAGAAATTGGAGGGGAAAGGAAGGCCAATCATCACCAAGGAAGCTAGGCCATGAGAGAAATAATATAAGCTTTGCCCACGAGCTGAGTGGCAGACGCTGCTATCAGGAGAAGAGGATCCCTCACCAGATTGGTGTAGTGGTTAAGAGTGGCAGGACTCTAATCTGGGACAACCGGGTTTGATTCCTCATTCCTCCTCCACATGAAGCCAGCTGGGTGACCTTGGGCCAGTCACAGTTCCCTCAGAGCTGTTCTCTCAGAGCTCACTCAGCCCTACCTACCTCACAGGGTATCTGTTGTGGGGAGAGGAAGGGAAGGAGATTGTAAGCCACTTCAAGTGAAGGGCCGGGTAGAAATCCAACTCTTCTTCACCCAAGGAATGGCTTTGGACCTTGAAAAGAGGCAGGTACAGTGAGGGCCATTGAGGCAGCCACATTAGGAGGCTTTGTGTTTTTTCTTGCCGGCTCCATAATGGACTGATCTCGCTTGTTGAAAATGTGTCCTGTTAAAACTGTTGTTCACAACTGTTTTTGTGTCCCTCCATTTGGTGATGAGCGGGGGGGGGGCTTGCTGCATGTGCCCGCCCCCTGGGCTCCTTACTGCCGGAGCATTGCTCTGGTGCGCTCCGGCAGGAAATGATAACCCACTTTGTTCAATACAGTGGTTTGTTTTAATTTGCCTGGTCCTCACGCCTCAAGCTTGACCATTCACCTGGCAATGCCCTGACCAGTAGAAGGGTCATGTTTGCAATATTCAGGGCCCTCCCAGAGTGGTGCAAACCAAACATGGCTCTTGCCAGCTCCAGTGCCGAAGGGGGCAGGAGGGAGAAGGGTGTGGGTGCGGAGTTAGAAGACTCCTGGGAAGAGGACACACACCTTAGACAAACTCCTCTGTAACCCCACTTGTTGCCTGTGGCACTACCTCACAGGGTTGTTGTGATTACAGAATAGAGATGAGGAGAATGATGTAAGCTGCTTTGGCTCTGTGCTGGGGAGAAAGGCAGGGAATAAATGAATTAAATAATAGCCCTTGGATTGTAGTTTACTTCTTAGGGGGGTTGTGGTGCCCCACCCGCTGGGATGCAAGCCCCCCAAAAAGGAGACTTTCTTTTTGGAAGGACCTGCTGCTAGTTTTCAGGCTTAAAGAGCAAGCCCACCCTCCACATGCACGCCTGTCTCTCTTCCCGTGCATTTTTAGCATGCATTATACCTTGAAAAGGCAAAAACAGTAGACTAAGGAGTGTTTTAAAACCTTGGGACACAAAGTAACACAGACAAAAGTTGCAGGTGGACATCTACTCTCCTCACCCATTTCTTTTTTAAAAAGTGCCCAAGGAAGAATTTTGGAGAACTTGAAAGCTTGCATGCTGTTTTAGGTCATTTTGGTTGGCCCTAATAAAAAAGGTATTACGTGGCTTTTGAAATGCCTGTTGGCTAAGGAGTGCTTTGGCTAACCTTAAAAACTTGACGCCAGGCAGTAACTCAGGGTTGAGGGCGCTGAAGCCAATTTCATTGCAGTGACGTGTGTTCTACCTTAGCCTGAGAAACTTCAGCCTGAACGGCAGCCCTCCAAGTTAAGTGGCTCTTTTCATTGGAGAGCCACAAGCTGAAGGAAGTCTCCTTAGGTTGGAAGAAGGCTTATCAATTTTGCTCAACAGAAGGTAAGGGATAAGTCTTATGCCAACTTAACTCTCTGTTGGATTGTGGTTTTAGGGCATAAGGCACTACGGCCAGCTGCAGTCCTCAGGTTGCCACCAACTAGCTGTTTCCCCACTGAAGGTAGCTTGCCTGGCATCAACCCAAGCCCTGCTTTTTTGATCAGAACTCTCACCCTGTGGAATGGCTGAAAGGGGTGCTGTCTCTGGAATTTTGCAGAGGAGCTGCAAGGCTCCTAGGGCTTTTGCTGGGGGCTTTTAATTGATTGTAGTCTGAAGACGTTTGGTGGGGAGGGGAATAATTGGTAGCTTTCTTTTACATTGCGTTTTTTAATTGTGGACTCCTAAGCTGCCTTGAGCCAAAAAAAGAAAGGTGGGGTATACATATTTTAATGAATAAATTATTGTGGTTGCAGAGAAGTCGATGACACAAAGCATTTTTTTAGGGGGGGGGTACGACTTTAAATTACCTTGCAGACTTCCTGTGTCTGTGCACTGCAAATGCACCATTGGCGATGCAAGTGAGTTCCATACGGTTTAAGTTTTGCAATTACATGAGAAGCCCAAATGAAATAAGAGCCATTTAAAGCCTCTTTGTGTCAGCTGCTAAGCTGTCAAGTTCTGCCTCTAGATGGTGCTCAGTAGCCATCCACAGCTATGGATTTCGGCCATAAACCATTTCCCTGCACAATAGTGCTCCAGTGCAGAATGGTCGTTCTTGTATTCACCTCTCTGAATCTGCATGTTCAGCTCGGTTGCCACCACACCTTCCTTTAAGTAGGAATTGTAAGAGGCTCTTAAAAAGGGGGAAAGACCAGTTGCTGAGTATTGCTGGGACAGCAACTTCGAAGCCACTGGACATTTTCCATGCTGCCACTGCAGAAGATTTGATCTGAACAAAGCCAGATTTCCTTGTTCTGACAGTGTCTGGAGAGTCCTGCTTCAGGGCAGGGAAAGGTGCTTGTCACCAGTCTCATGCAATCCTGGCTCCGTTTCCACTCCTTTCCTACAGAGAAGGAGAAGCCCACCCAGCCTGGGGTGGAAAGAACGTCATCG